GGTCTAGAATATCTTTGTTATAGTAACAGAATAGTTACTGGAAAACAGGTAGACTTAGTGAAGTTTCTCTTTTTTTTTCTTCTATGTATTTGTGTGGGCTGTAGCAAAATGGGCTCCTTTCTTGTAGTGACAAGTGCTCTTGCTTTAAGTGACTATACAACTCTGGAGTCTTAATGCAGGTGATGTAAAAAGGGATGTAAAAGTGCAATCTGTTTTGAAATACATGTAGTTATACAGTAATAGTGTCTGAATCTTGGCATTAGGTAAACCAGTCCTGTTTGTTAACAATGTTTGGAACAGCCTGACTGTTTAGGCTGAGGAGAGGGTGGAGAAACTAGCAAACTGATGCTTAAGTTTGGAGTTACTGAAGCTGCTTATGAACAAATGCCTCGAAGTGCTCAGTTTTGAGGGACCAGTCAACAATGACCCAACATTGTGCAGGTTTCTCTACAGCAGGAGGCCTTAGTTAACCGGAGAAGTTATCATCTGAACAGGTAAGACAAGGGAAGGCTGAAATAGTTGGTGAGCTTCAGGTTATATTGCTTATATTGAGGGTGGCATGGCTTGATTAGTCCTGCGGCCAAGTGTAGATCTTCAGAAGTCTAAATCAAAACAGCTTTTCGGTAACTACTATGGTTTGATTTGTAGATCTTGCTGTGCTTTATGTGGCCAGTCTGTCTGTTGGTGTAACCTTAATTTCCTGGTCTGAAGAGCATCTTTCACTAGTGCCACAAAGCTCTGTGAAAGACTGCCTGAAAAAGTTTATGCTCTGACCTGGGCTCTGTCTAGCACTTTATTTTAAACCAGAAGACACACACCTCTGCCTCCCCTCCAAAAAAAATCTTTCAGAAGAGTTTTTACAGTTTATGATACTTAACACACGAAGTTCAACATGGTGTCCTTGAACCTGAGGGTAAAATGATAGATTGAAATTAAACAGACTGACTAACTGCCATTGACTATATTGCTTCCCTTCCTGTCAGAGAAGGGTAAATCCTGTTTGACTACAGTTTACTTCCCAGCAAGTAAAGACCAATATGGAAGAGAAGGGAATACTTACAGAATTAGGCGGCTTCTTATTCAGAGCAGGGTCTTCAGCAGATGTATTAAGACTCTTGGCCTTAAGTTTACATTCCCTTAAACTAAAGGGAATTGAATAATGTTTTAAAAGCAACTGCAGTCATCACAGGTTCTTCTAGACACTGCTACTTTTGTATGTGAGGTGGTTGGATTTCCCCAGACTTCCTTTTCTGTAAGGAACACATGAGTTGATGTCAGTGTCTTGACTGCCTCAAGGATGCTTATTCTACAGAATGGGATGGAAAACTCATCCTTGCCTACTCAGAGGTGACTGAGGAGAGAGCTACCACTAGTGTTAATGGATTTTTAACCTCAAGGAGCTGTTAATGTGAGCTTTGAACCATGGTGTGTAAACCGTTTCTTGAACTGCGGAGGTGGAAATGCAAACAATTGACTCAATGACTTCTTTTGTAGTTTTATTAGGGTATTGCTATTAAAATGTCACTATGCCCCTGATAGCACACCACTGGTTTATGGGGGCTATTAGCCTGTTGTTTTGTAGACACTGGTACTTCTGCACTGATACTGCCTATGTCATTCCTGTGCCACACTGCTTCAGCCTTGTCTTGTTCTGTACTGCCTGGCTGTTCTGGGGCTGGAGGGGACTGTGCTCCCACTGCTGCCGCTGAAGAGATGCCTTGTGTCAAGCCTCTGGGATTTTGCTGAGGGCATACAACATAGGGGTTGTGTTGTGAGCAGACTCACCCATTCAGAGTTCATGAAGTGTTAATACTCTAAAAGATTCAAGCAGCACTTGTAACAGCTCTGCAGGGAAAGTCAAGTACCTTGGCTGTTAAGAGCTGGGCTAGCTTTAGATGCAATCAAACTGTAAAATTTGTATGCTATTGGATGGGTTTTGTTTAGTATTATACTTTGGTTATAAGTCAGGTGATGCTGTGTATGAAGGCAGACCTTGCAGTTTCTACTGGCCAGTGTTGAAGTGGGAGGGAGAAGGAAGCATTTAAATATTTTCTCCACTTACCTTTATGATGAGCTTGTACTGAATCAAGTTGGTCTCTATTTTACCTAAAAGGCAGCTATTCCTCTAGTATGACCAGGTAAGGATGTAGTATCTGTATTGGCAGGAGGGAGAAAGTTGCTGTATTCTGTCTTGGCTGTTTAGTAAATAATCTTTTTATTGCAATTGCATAGCACAGTGGACTTAGGGCAACTTAATAGGCAGCAGCACTAAGTTTGTGTTGCCAGAAGAATGTTTAACGAAAAACTTTGTAAGATAACACAGCAGTTACAACAACCTTAGGGTGCTTGTTAAAGGCATACTCAAAGGTTAAAACCAGTCACACTTAGTGAAAAGTTGCTAAGGGTCACTTGACTTTCCCAGAAAGCAGCTTATATAGTACTGTGAGAGCCAGACTACTCTTGAACTAGGATGAGACAAACTTCTCAACACAGATTGCTCTTAATAGGTTCTAATTGTTGGAACCCTTAAAGTCCCCAGACTATCTCATTCTGTAGTCAATCTGTAGTTCTTATGCCTTGGGTGTCTGTGTCCAAGCAAACTGAACTCTAGTTTGTAGAACATGGGGACTATAAACAAAGAAAGCCTTTCAACAACAACGTCTGGAGTTCAGATGCTACCTGTTATGTTTCCTCCCAGTTTTTCCACTCTCCCCTGGCAGGGAGCTCTGTTGTCTTACCCTCTTGCCTTTCTGGTGATTAAGAACTAAAAATCAAGTTTGCAATCCTTTTCTGGTTTGGAATCTCTGGAGTAATGGCTGGATTCACCATCCCCAATGCAAATGTGTATTTGTGCGCTGTACTGGATGAATCTCTGAAAAGTAGGAGTTATGGCATTCCATTTCTGTACTAAGGAGTGTCCTGGATAAGGGAGCTGATGTTTAATGTAGTATAGAAGAATTACAAGAGGAAAATATCTATCTTCACTTACCAGTGTTTATCCCAGAATGAATGCTTAAAGGTAATTAATTTGCATTACTGTACCAAATGTGTAGCAAACATGTGTGAGTAAAATACTCTGCATGGAAAGATACTACTGCTCAGATGTTTAAAAATGCTGTCCTGAGGGCACTTCTTGATGGTTGGCATGTTTGTTCTTGCATGGAGAAGTCAATGAGAACTTAGTTTGATTTTGCTTTTCAGGACATGTTGTGACAAGATTTTTCTTGTGTACCCCAGGGCTAGTTGCCCAGACTGGTCATGAAACTGTCAACTTCAAAACAAAAAAACCTCAACTTTTGGGGCTGTTTAGTCTGGAGAAGAGAAGGCTGAGAGAGGACCTTATCAATGCCTATAAATATCTGAAGGGTGGCTGTCAGGAGGATGGAGCCAGTCTCTTTTCAGTAGTGCCCAGTGACAGGACGAGGGGCAATGGGCATAAACTGCAGCACAGGAAGTTCCACCTCAACATGAGGAAAAACTTCTTTACTGTGAGTGTGATGGAGCACTGGAACAGGCTGCCCAGAGAGGGTGTGGAGACTCCTTCTCTGGAGACCTTCCAAACCCGACTGGATGCATTCCTGTGCAACCTGCCCTATGTGATCCCGCCTTGGCCGGAGGGTTGGACCAGATGATCTTCAGAGGTCCCTTCCAACCCCTGCGATACTGCCATAATGCAGGGCACAAACTGGATTGCTTGGAGCAAACTGCTTTAAGGGAGAGGTTTGGACTGGACAACATCCAAAAGTCCTTTCCAGGCTAAATAATCCTATGGTGTGTTTGTAGGTTGACAATCCCTTAGTAACTAGTTAACTGTTTTTTAGGGCAGCTAGTTTATCCTGAGGTTTTTCCAATAAAGTACTCTGACTTCTGCCGTAGGCCTTGTATTTCCATCCAGTTGAGCTTCATGGTGTGGTGTGGCAGCTCCAGTGTCTTTCTGGAGTAATCAGGTCCAGGCAAATTTGAGACTCCTGGTAGGCCTGTTGCTTCTGTGCTTCTGGAATAATGGGTGCTGACACATCTCTTTTTCTGTGTGGGAATCCTGACTGGTGACACATCTCTTTCTGCATAGGTCACTTCTACTTTTGTCCCCAGTGTGCTGTTCTTAGAGCTGCTGCTCTGTGCTAATCAGGGTGTGGCAGCTGATGCTTGTGTTCCTGTCACAGCTACTGTGTCCAGCTACTCTTTTTTAAAAAAAAGTATTTTTAAGAGGTATCCAGCAATGAATTATTTAGTTTGCATGACAAACAAAAGCTTCTTAACTAGTACTTGTTTATTGAAGCTTACTCTTATGGCTTTGCAACACTAAGAGAAGAATAGGAACTGAGAATTTCTTGAAGTAAAGAAGGATTTTATTTTTTTCCCCAAAAGCAAATTAATCTGCAGCATCAAAAGGCAGGAAGAGTATAAAATAAATGCTAATGGCATGTCATAAGACTTTCTGTTGTAAGCTTTTGCAACTTGTTACTGCCAGAATTTACTATGTATCTCTGCTTTTTTCTTAGCCTATGTAGAGAGATCAAAAGTCATCTTTCTACCTATAAGCAGATCTAAGGTATAGCTCTGCTTCCCGGTTGAAACTAAGCTGCAGCAATGTTAAAGAAATATGTTAGGTGTAAAGTCTGATAACAAGAACAATAAAAAACCACTTAATTTTATTTTGTTTGAGAAAGTGGGATTTTTTTCTTTGGAAACTGTTCTAGATAGCAGTGATGTAGGATGGGTTTACAAGTAAGAACAGCTTGTTCAGCTAGTAGCTGCTTTGAGAAACCTTTGGCACTTTTAATGGTATTGTTGTCACAAATACCTTCTAATACTCCATTCCCACTCATATTTTAGACATCAGTGACATGGTTTGCTTGCCAGTGCATTGAAGTGGCCCATTTTTCAGGCTTGCTGGGCAGGGTTTTAATCTGGTCTTTTAGCGCTGGTGAGATGCTTTACCTGCATGCTACCATGATGTCACCAAAGTCATGGTGGTTGACTGGGTTTCTTCTGTCTGCAGATCTGACTGGTTGCCTGGCACTTCATCTGTGGCAAGCAGGACAATGGCTGCCAGCAAGAGCAAGAACCAGAGTTCCTTGGCCCTCCATAAAGTAATTATGGTTGGCAGTGGAGGAGTGGGCAAATCTGCACTCACTCTTCAATTTATGTATGATGAGGTAAGTAGCTTTGGTTCAACTCCACTAAAGCACCAATGGATATAGCGTACTAAACTCATTTTTTAGTGGGACAGGAACTAAATGTAAGTAGCAAAATACCTGAGGACCTGACTGGCAGAAGAATGTAGGAATTTGAAAGGGTGCCCTCTAGGAGCATCTTTGGCTAAGGGTGACAAAATTGATGTGTGTTAGTAAAAGAACAGTCTTCAAAAAGTGTGGGGAATGTGAATGTACTTGTCCGAGTGTACAGAGGCTGTTACCAGTTGTCATTGAACTTTAATTTTGTTGCAGTTTCTTTTAGGCCAGTTAAGGTTGAAGTCACGAGTAAGCCTTCTAGCTCATTCTGAGCTGGATGGTGAAGTGGGCATGTCTATACCGTGAATTCTTCTGTACTGGTATACAGGAAGCTAGATCAGGCAATCCAGACTAGTATGTGAAGGAATATGTGATCCTGTAATTCAGAAATTGGTTATCTATAGCCTGTCCACACATACTGTAGTGATGTGAGTATATCTGAGCAGGTGGCATAGTCATTAGTGAAGACCAGTCAGCTTAATCGGGCTCATGGCACAGCCTTTTGTTGTACCTTGAGGCTGAGAGAAAGTAGGTGGAAAGGTAAGAAGCGTATGGTGGACGTGTGCTGTCAGTACAGAACTACGAGTTGAACTGGCAGTGTCTTCGTGGGTCTGATTAATAATGAATGGACTAAAATATATGCCTATAATTATGGTGCATGTTTTCATGTTCAGTGGCTGGATGCTGTCATCTATACCTGTTGAAGCCTCACATAGCTGTACCTGAAGTACACTTAAATGCTTTTTCTTGAAGTGGGAGATCTAGATAATGCCACCAGGTAGCTGGTAGCTTAAACTGTATCTTTGTTCCTTAAATTGTGCTGAAATTGCTGAATGGTGTTTCATGTAGCAAGACAGTTTCTCTTGACTAGGCAGACTGTCTCGTTGATGTATTAAGTGCTTAAATAATTTGCTTTTTCTGGTAAAACTAAAAAAAGTGGTGGAACTTAATAGCTGACTGAATTATGAGAATGTTTTCAGGAATTTAAATGTCACTAAAATGAAAGAGAATGAATATGGATAAATACTGAGACCATTTGACAGTAATTCTAAACACTAATCCCTGTCTTACCTTCTTCAGTTTGTAGAAGACTATGAACCTACCAAGGCTGACAGCTACAGAAAGAAAGTAGTTCTGGATGGTGAAGAAGTTCAGATAGACATTCTGGACACAGCAGGACAGGAGGATTATGCAGCTATCAGAGATAACTATTTCCGCAGTGGGGAAGGGTTTCTTCTAGTCTTCTCAATAACAGAGCATGAATCCTTCACAGCAACAGCAGAGTTTCGGTAAGTAGTTTCTCTCCCAGGCAGGGGAAAATACCTGGTTCCTGTGTTGCTCTGACAACTCTTCTTAAAAGCTGCAGCTCTTTATCCTTTGCCCGTCACCATTTGGTCAAAAGTGTCAACCCAACCATTTTGCTCTCAGTAACTGCTGACTTAAACCATGGTAACCAGCCTCTGGCTCTAATTGTCTTCATGCCTTCAACTTATGAGTACCTTATGCCAGCAGCAACTTCAGGCAAGTAACAGATTTTTGGACTCCTAAAACACGTGTATTCAAGCCAATTTTCAGCCTTTGTGGATGTGAAGTTTAATTATCTTGGAGCAGTACTTCTGGAATTAAGTCTGCCTTTTGGCCAGGTTTCAGACACTCTATGCTTACTGCTAAAAGCAGGTGCTCTAAGGAAGGGAAGGATTAGCCTTAACTCTCAGGTATGGATTGGTGCCAAACAAGGGTTGGCAGCCAAGTAGTACTATTGTAAGCAGACGTATTCCTAGAAAGATGCACAGTAGTACTAAATGCTTCCATTTTTGTTCTTGGGATCAGCAGTTTTAATGTAAAAATCAACATCAGACTGAGAAGAGAAAACCGCTTGTGTAGTGTGAAAGAAAAACAAAGGGTTTAATCCACTGTTCTGGTCTCAGAACCCCATGTAGCCAGGTTCTTCAGGGCATGTGTTCTAACTCTTATTTGATAATAGCTGTTGCCTCAATGTAGAAAGTAATCCAGAGATTCCCTAGGATAGCTGTACAACTTGGAGTAAAACTTGCCAAATCATAGGGAAAGTGTTAGAAGTTCCTTATTTTTGCCAGAATAAAATATCTTTATCAGTCTGTCTTATGTTCACTTTGCTTCGGTGGTACAAGGCTAACAGATACTAATTGGTAAGCAAGTGCTGGTGCTAAGGTACACACCTATTTCTAGAGTTTTCTAAAAGGTATGGCAAACTCCCCTTGCACTCTAGGATTTTGGTCCAGGTTCTTAGTGTATTTTACTCTTCCAACAGTAGTAGGAGACGGAATAATCTTCCAAGAGGTATAAAAATATTGTTACTTTGTCACATAATACTTTGACTTTGCTAGACTTCAGAAGGCTGACAGTCATAGGGCACAGAAGCGGAGCTGTTCTGCTCAGTTCTAATTGGAGAACTTAAAGGAGCTAAACACTTGAACTGTTGTAGGACTGCAAAACTGAGTACTCAGGCTGTTCCTATTGTAAGATGGAGGCAAAAGTCAAAACCATTCAAAAAACAGGAAGAAAATGAGACACTTGGAAGTACACAGCTTGGGTTTTGGCTTGTGTGTGTAAGTGAAATATAAGGTTAAACCTAAGGCTTAAGGCTTTGGATGAAAAGAGTAGGAGTGTTTATCTTGGCAGTTTGTGGGTTTTGTCAGACTTCTATAACTAGTTTAACTGTTGGTTCAAGATTCCAGCACAACAAAACAACAAAAAAGCAATGCTAGCCCTAAAGATGAGCAAGAAGGACCTAAAAGCATTGAGGCGGAGAGTCTCCTACTTTTCAGTGGGTCAGAAGTAGGCAAATAGTGAAATTAGTTAAATGGAATATTTAGTTTAGGCTGACACGTAAGAACCAGCTCCTTGGAAAACCCTTCCCCAGAAAGGAGGGGGAATGGGTAATATGAGTCACCAGCATCACAGGCTAAACTACAGATTGGTATTATTGATCCTCTAACTTCCAGAGTTCTTAAACTATGAAAAATTTGAATACTGAATGAACTACGGGCTCGTCTCTAAACACTAGCTCTCCTGCTGATGCTGTGCATTCGGTGTTTGCTTTCAGTGCCTCTAATCTGAAAATGTGTGAAGGTACAGTTGAATGCAACAGGAGACTGCTTCAGTGTTAACGCTGTTTTAGATTCTCATGTACTTCTACATAAATTTAGTTATTTTGTGGATGGAAAGTGCAGGCATCTGAAGTAGTGTGGTAAGTCAGTGGGATGAGGGGGTGTAGCACCATGCTTATGCCTACTTTGGCTCTTGTTCATAACAAATGAAGCAATCTAAAAATACCTCTAGACTCGTACAGTTCTTCCAGAGTCCTAGATGGACAGCAGCATGTGTCAGTCTGGTTTCAACCCCTGTTTTACTCCAGTAATAGCACAGACTCTGACATGCAATATCACTTTGTCTCCGTTCCTGGGTGCTGATAGGTCCTTCTTATAATGACAAAGGATAGCTAGGTTAATGCTGGTGATTCAAATATTTTCTCGGTGTCTTTCAAGAAGGAAGGTTGCTAGCATTTTATGTCAGCACTATTTAGTAACTCTGTCCTTTACATAAAGTTTAGGTAGCCATTAAGAATGATCTCTGCCAGCTGCTTATGCTGTTCCCAACCTACTGCCTTGGCAAAGCCTTGATGTTGCCCAGGCCTATATAGAGATGGGATGTAGACTAGAAATTGAAGATGGTGACTGAATGCCAAGGTGAAACTTGGCAAACATGGCACTATACTATTTTCCTCGTTCAGATGTGGACTCCTGTTGTGAGTGGCTCTTCTGCCATGCAGTGCTTCTTTGTTAGAGCCTGGGTAGTAAACTTACTAACTAAATGGTAAAACTGCCTTCCTGGAAGTGTGAGGCTTTTATTAGTGTAAAGCCTGTAGCATTAGTATGTTAAATGTGAAATAATGTTAAAGTGTGTGTTCAACTGTTGGGAAACATACTGTTAAGTACTGTTTGTAAACACTGGTAGTTTGCAGACCACTTGATCCACTCCTGATAAAGGTGGGGTGTTTGTTGCTACTACTAACAGATATTTTTATTTTGAATACCTGATGCATTAGGGAACAGATCCTGCGTGTGAAGGCTGAAGAGGATAAAATCCCTTTACTGGTAGTGGGAAACAAATCTGACTTGGAAGAGCGCAGACAAGTGCCTATAGAAGAGGCTAGAAGTAAGGCAGAGGAATGGGGTGTGCAGTACGTAGAAACCTCTGCCAAAACCAGAGCAAATGTAGATAAGGTAAGACAAATGACATCTGTTCAATTAGATCATTACTACTTGTTTAGTAGCTGAGTGACTGATTCTTGACTCTTGCTGGGACAAAAGCAAATCCACAGCTGGGCTTGTGAAAGCCTAGATTATCAAAAATTAATGAACTTACTAGAATGTGTACACTTAAGCAAATACCTAGCTTAGAGGAGCCAGAGACTTGGTACAAGTTGATGCTATTGTTTTGTTTTAACTGTTTGTACCTGAACCAATAGCTTTCCAGTAGTACATTGGGTAAATGTCTTTAAGATTCCCTGAAATGTTATTTTGTTTATAGGCTGTGTCCTATTAATGTAACTGCAATAAATAGCAAGCTACAGACATAAATTGTTCTTCCTTCCCTACAAAGCTAAATATGGTATGGCTAATGTTAAAGATTTCATTCTTGCTTTCTGCCAAGAGTACTTTAAATTGTGAGAAGAACAATTGCTGCATCCCTGTCCTGTTTTGACTTGTCCATACTGGTCTAGGACAGTCATTCTCAGCATGTTTCTGCTGCTGGCTTCTTGCATAAACGGTGGTGGTGGGTTACTCTGGAAGAGATAAGTTACAACTATGAAATGTTTGACTAGTAGGGAAAAGTCAGTTTCAGGTCTCCCCTTCATTCTGTGTACTGGGGGCTTCTTGAAGAGGGTGCCTTTTTACTTTACCAATCCACGGAAGATGGTCTGAAATTACTGTTGTCCCCCCCGCCAAGGACTCCAAAAGTGTGGCTTGGTAATTTGCATTTGTTTAAATATTACAAATTGTAAGCAGTTTTCTCTTTGGACAAAGAACATCCGCAGCTAGGTGTACTCCCAAGTTCCCGTAGAGGGCTTTCTGTTCTTCTAGTCTATGTTAGTCTGCTAATGGAAATGATCTTGGTACATAAGTTACCTAGTAGGAACTCTGTTTCTCTCTTTTTTGGATAAAACAGCATATATGAAACTCTTGAATTGACACCTTTTGGTTATAAAGAACATAGCATAATTTAAATATGCTAAAGAGCCATTCTGACTGCTGGAATGTTACTAGAAAGTCACTGTTAGATGTATAAACTTGATGTAGTAAAACATGAATACCTAGACTTGCTTTTGCATATGGGCTGTCTCATGTGACGAGAAAATGCCTAGCCTGCTTTATACTTAGTCTAGCTTTCTGATCAGTTGGGATTAACAGCAATGTAGCTGTGTGTCTGGAGTACACTACTAGCATGGTGTTCTAGAGTTGCTCTATCTGTGTGATATACTGATTATCCTCTATGTAAGCACTAGTTTGTGTATGTTAAAGCAAGTTATCAACCATCTTGATGATCTTGTATTTACACTGCAGCAGAATAAACAAGAAACCTTAATAAGAAGGTTTTGAATGATAAACTATTTCTGATCTGAAAATTCTGATTCTTGTTTCCAAGTATCAGACCTGTGTAGTTTCCCACTAAAAAGAAAAAAAAAGCCTAACTCCATAGAGTGACACTAAGCTCTTGTTCTGTGACCCTAAAAATATTTTTTCCCAATAACTCTCTACAGTAAAACAGCTGTTGCATCTTAAGTGCCATGTACGTAGACATCAGACATACAGGAGTGAAATCAGCTAGAATGTTGGAGAAAACATGAGAGTAATGACTTTCTCTGGATAGTTCTTATAACATAGTTCGAGAATTTTCTGTGCCTGACACTGTCACTTGAATGCTACATTTTTTTAATTATAAAACAGGCAGAACACTATCCAGAAGAGAGTGTGCTTGTAACTACATGGAAAGGACTGCACTAAATGCTTTATATAGTTAACAAGAGTGATTTGCCTGGAAATGTTTGCTAGGCACAGACAAATATTCTCAAACTCTGAGTGCTAGTTTTTGTGCAATACTGATATTCAATAAAAATCTCTTAAAACAGGGCTGTTGAATGATTTGGTAGCCAGGTAAGATTGTCCTACTTCTTGCCACTGCTTGACATGCTGCATAATTCTGATGTTGAGTTTGCTGCTGGGATCTATGTCTACACTCACTTCTGCTGTATTAGGTGCAGTGTGGTGCTACATCTTTATTTGCTGCTGAGTTACAGTAGTTTTTAATCTGCTTTCTGGTGGCAGATCTTGTTTAATCTTTCTTTATTTTTTCCTTCTAGGTGTTCTTTGATTTAATGAGAGAAATCAGAGCAAAGAAAATGTCAGAAAACAAAGACAAGAACGGCAAGAAAAGTGGCAAGAACAAGAAAAGCTTTAAAGAAAGATGTTGCTTACTGTGATGCTTGGGAACTGTAAATATCTATCTCCAGGTGGCATGGATAAGATACCACTAAGGATAGAGGGTTGGATTCATGAAAGGAAGTCTGTATTGACTCCCTTATCTTTTGCTTTGCATATCACACCTTCAAAATGTGAAAACAGAACTTTGAAACCATTTCTGGTATCCAACAAAATCTATGCCTACTTAAACTGAAATGGGCTCCGTCTTCCCAGTGTCTTTCAAAACTAGAAACAGTTTCAGAACTTCTGCTTGGTTATACAAAGTGCTTTTGTATTAACTTTCTAGTCTACTCTAATGCTTCTCTGAATATGTTTCTCTTGAACCTCTACTGGCCTTAAACAAGCACAGCTGTTCAGGTTCAAACACTTTTTTCCCCACTGTTGCTGCCCACCTTGATGTTGCAAACTGCAGAAAAGCTAGATGACATCTGGTAAAGGGCTTGAGTCTCTGTCTTCTTTTAGTTGTCACTGGTATTTCTTGCACTGAAAGCTGCTGGCTTCCTCCCCCACAATCCATGTAAGAAATAGCAACTGACACTTGAGTCAACTCAAACTTTCTTCCATATTCTGTTTAGTCAATACAGCATTCATGAATCAAGCCTATGGACTCAATTCAGACTTATTTAGGCAATGCAAAAATGGATATTTAAATACTGGCTAGATGCATTCCCCCCGATCTGTCTTCTCATCCTTAAATTAATGGTATGGGGTGAGAAAATGACTGTAAGCCTTTGTTCAAAAGGAATTAATATTGTCACAATCTCCTTGAAATGCTCTCCTGGGTTTCTTCCATGTATTGTGGCTAGACTCAATTACACTCACTCTACATCCATCATCCTTCCCCTCCCTGGTACTGGAATGGTGAAAATCAAAGTGTTGATTTCATCGGTTTTGTTTATAATTGGAACACTTGTGATCATGTTGGAGAAGTGGTAACATCTGCATATGTCTCTTGTCTTGCTGAAGATGAAAACTTTGAGTAAGGATGGGTCACATCACACAATCATAACTTGTAATAGGTGAGGCATACATGCTACCTCTCAATGATTAGCTGGCTAGTGAGTTGTATGGTGTCAAAAAGCAAATGAAAATAAGCAGTTTCCATGTCTGTTACTCACTGTTAATTTTATATGTACTGTTTCTGATGCACAGCAACCTAGCACATGGAGATGCATGTTAAGTTTTGTCAGTGATACAGTGGTGGTTGCATATTGATCAACAAAAACCAGCCTAGAAGTGGAAGAAAAGTCAGTACTTAGCAGGTCCTCTTGTCAGCTGACTGAACTGAGCTTGCTGATGCAGTTTAAGTGCAGTTGCCAAAAAATACTTCTGTCACTGTTGTGGAAAGTAACAGTCTGTTCTGATGGTGGAGTCTCTCAGTGAACTATGCCTGTCTTCTGTTTTGAAGGAGTAGAGAGACTTGAAGTAGTGAGTATATCTTGCTTGTTAACTGGATACTTAAAACACAGTTACTTGGTGAAAGGAATATGCTTTGTGGTTGTTCAACAAAGCACACTGCAGCACTAAATTAACAAATACTGTTTCTCTCTGAGGTGGAAGTAGTGAATACTGTTCAGTGCTTAGTATTGTAATTTGAGGTTGAAAAACACCTTTTAACATGTACTAGGTTGCTCTTGTGCTGAAGAGTTCCACTTCTGAACTTTGAAAAAAGATGTGTTAGATAGCAGAACCTCTGTTGGCATGAGGTTTCACAGGGACTTACTACAAACTCATTGTCTTCCATAACTAGTTCAACTTGTCAGGCAACTCATTGGATCGGGGAAATTGTACTAAATAAAAGGTGCTGTAATCTTTATTCTTGTCAAGTTAAGTTCCTTCTTCGTTAATGTTATCTTGTATGTGCAGAAAGAATGGTTATTCTGGAATTAGTTCCAATTCTGGAAATACTTATCTTTGAACAGTGTTACTGGTATTGCAAAGCCAACTTGACAATGAAGTTTTGAAGCAGAGGTTGGGAGCCTGCTGGCTTACAGAACTTGTCATTTGAGCTGTATCACCTGTGTCTGAAGCCTGAGCACTTAATGGGACATGTGCAGCTGTAACACTTTGCTAACAAAGTTTCCTCTTGAACTTCCATGGATAAAGTAAATTTTTGAGTGCACATTGTGTGTACAGCAAATGAATGTGTGCTTCTGGAGGAAGGCAACTCACTTAGTG